GGGGGGGGGAAAGGGGGGGGGGGGGGGGGGGGGGGGGGGGGGGGGCGAGGAGAGAGAGAGAGGTTATCCAATTTCTACTCACAATGTTTCTGGCTGACAGTTAGGACATTTTATGGCATGCTTCGCAACTTTTTTTGGGGGAGTCTTGATTGCCTTCATATCTAGCTGGGAAGTGTCACTTCTAGCAATATTCGTTGTCCCAATGATTCTTCTAATTGGAGCCACTTATACAAAGAAAATGAATGCTATTTCAGCAACAAGGATGTCATGCCTGTCAGAAGCCACGGCAATGGTAGAACAGGTAAAGATTTAGTACCATTATTTGTAGCTTATCGTCCTGTTAACATGCAGGCAGATTTTTCCACAGAAATTGAAAGTCAGTTTTCTTAACAATTCTCTCCTTTGCTATGTGACAGACGATTTCCCATATCAAAACTGTTTTTGCATTTGTTGGAGAAAATTTAGCAATTAAATCCTTCACGGAAAGCATAGAAAGACAACTGGGCATAAGCAAGAGTGAAGCGCTTATAAAGGGAATTGGGACAGGAATGTTTCAAGCTGTGACCTTCTGTTCATGGTCTCTTATTGTATGGGTCGGAGCTGCTGTTGTATCAGCCAAGAGATCAAAGGGAGGAGACGTAATTGCAGCAGTTATGAGTATTCTCTTTGGAGCTATGTAAGAAGCGAAGTCCACTGGTACACAAATATTTTTCTCACTCTGTCAAGCATTACACATGTTTTCCATTTTTGTTTCCAGATCGCTCACTTACGCTGCACCAGACATGCAAATCTTCAATCAAGCAAAAGCTGCAGGAAAGGAAGTTTTTCAAGTGATCAAAAGAAAGCCCATGATATATTCCAACTCTCAAGGGAAGACGGTGGACCAAATCAATGGAAGCATTGAGATACATGATGTGCACTTCTCTTACCCATCTCGAAAGGAAATTATGATCCTTCAAGGGTTTTCACTGTCAATCCCAGCAGGAAAGGTGGTAGCATTTGTAGGAAGTAGTGGCTGTGGCAAGAGCACCATCATCTCACTGATAACAAGATTTTATGATCCCATAAAAGGTACCTAAGCTATCTACTAAGAAGTCTACTTGAACAATCCATTTATTCTAATTTACATGGACACGCTGAGATAAGCAGCACTTTACTCCCATATGTCAGAATGCTACCTATTACCTAAGAGCATTAGACAATCGCGTATCAACTACAACCGTATTCATTTTAAGGAAAATCATAAGCTAACTGTGTTTACAACGCCTCAGGTGAAATTCTCATTGACAACCACAACATCAAGGACCTTGATTTAAAGTCCCTAAGGAGAAACGTAGGACTAGTTTCACAGGAGCCGTCCCTATTTGCTGGCAACATCAAAGACAACATCAAAGCAGGAAAAATGGATGCAGATGATGATGAGATCCAGAAAGCAGCTCAAATGGCAAATGCACACTCTTTTATATCCCAATTTCCTGATCATTACTCAACTGAGGTTAGTTAAGTTGCAAGTCAAATTTTATAAATGCCACACTACAAATTATGCAAACCTCCGCCAGTGTGAGCAAATGTCAGACTGAAAAAATATACATTGACTTGTTTTAAGAAGAAAAATGAAAGACTCTAACAAGCTGACTATTGAGTATAAAAACTAAACTAGAGAAAAAATAATAATAATAATAATAATAATAAAAATCACGTTATAATGCAATCTGAAGACCCTTGAGGTGCATCTAGTATATAGCTGCCGAAGTCACTGGCCAAAGAAAGGCAAAAGAGAAACATCAGTGAACATGAGAAGGTGAGAGGAAAGGATGAGCCATCAATAACATTATGCACTAATAACAAAAATGAAAATGCAGGGCTGATATAGAGAAGGTGAAAAAATTTAAATAAAGATCAGGTTCTATTGACAGTCTGCATAACAAATTCAATGGTTACTCTTTCATTGCTGTTTATTCTGTAGATAAAATCAGGTTAAAGGATTGTAACGTTGCAACATATTTCACACTTGCTGAGTGTAGTTCCCTTCTGTTGATATCAGGACCATAGTCTGCATCTGCAGTATAACATTAGACAGATATAAGCATGTACAGCATATAACTTATATTGGCAAACTTATTATATGCTGATTCTCACACTAGGTAGGAGAAAGGGGCGTCCAATTATCAGGTGGACAGAAACAGAGAATTGCAATAGCAAGAGCCATCTTAAAGAATCCTCCGATTCTTTTGCTCGACGAGGCCACCAGTGCACTTGATACGGAATCAGAAAAACTAGTTCAAGCTGCCCTTGAGATGGCAATGCAAGGGAGGACAGTCATCTTGATTGCCCACAGATTATCAACCATTGTCAATGCAGATATAATTGCAGTTGTAGAGAACGGAAAAGTAGCAGAGACAGGAAGGCATCAGGACTTACTAAACACCAATGAATTTTATCACAGTTTGTTTACCATGCAAAACATCGATACAAGGTTATAAAATTATTAATGACCTGTGCTAATGATAAACTAAAACATGTTGTCCTGAATATTTCAATGTAACATATTACAGAGCAGAGGATTCAACTGAAGGAACGGCAAGTACTCAGAAACAGATTTCATCTCAACATTTTGACCAGCCTGATACGCTTACAGAAAGCTACACAAGTTTCACACTATCTCCCAAGAAAGAGGAATCACAGGAAGAAATGGACAAGTTTATATTCCTCAGAATCTGGTCTGGATTAAAGAAAAGGGAGATCATAAAGATTTCCATTGGCTCTTTTGCAGCTGCTTTTGCTGGCATCTCTAAACCCGTTTTTGGCTACTTCATCATCACAATAGGAGTAGCATATTTCAAAGATCATCCAAAGCATCGAGTTGGAAAGTATTCAATAATGTTTTCTACAATAGGATTTCTCTCATTGTTTGCCCACACACTGCAGCATTACTTCTTTGGTGTGATTGGGGAGAAGGCCATGAAAAACCTGAGACAAAATCTATATACAGGTATGCTATCCATACAAATTACTGTCTATCTACTTTATCAATCTAAGAACTTCTGAAGCAATGCATTCACATAACTCCTGTTGGAATTTTTGCAGCTATATTACGCAATGAATTAGCATGGTTTGAGAAGCCCGAGAACAGTGTAGGATCAATTACTTCAAAAGTTATCAATGAAACATCAACAGTCAAGACCATCATTGCGGACCGTATGTCTGTTATTGTCCAATGCATCTCCTCCATAGTGATTGCTACAGCAGTCAGCATGAAAGTTAACTGGAGAATGGGTCTGGTAGCTTGGGCAGTGATGCCATGCCACTTCATTGGAGGGATAATTCAAGCCAAATCAGCCAAAGGATTTTCAAGTGGCAGTACTGCAGCTCACTCGGAACTTGTTGCCCTTGCTTCTGAATCAGCAACCAACATAAAAACTGTGGCATCTTTTTGCCAGGAAGAGCATGTCATTCAAAAGGCCAGAGCTACTCTCAAGAAACCAATGAGAAAAGGCAGGGTAGAAAGCATTAAGTATGGAATCATTCAAGGTGTATCCCTTTGCTTGTGGAATATTGCTCATGCTGTTGCATTGTGGTATACAACAGTTCTGGTTCGTAAACACCAAGCAAGCTTCGAGAATAGCATAAGATCATACCAGATATTCTCGCTCACAGTACCATCAATCACAGAACTATGGATGTTGATACCCACTGTTTTCTCTGCCATCAGTGTATTAACACCTGTGTTCCAAACCATTGACCGACAGACTGAAATTGAACCAGACTCGCCAAAGGATTCACCATGCGAAAGCCTTAAAGGGGAAATTGAATTTCGAAATGTCAAGTTTTGCTACCCCTCGAGACCAGAAATAACCATACTTGACAGCTTCAGTTTAAAAATCGAAGCTGGATCGAAGGTTGCTCTTGTTGGGCCAAGTGGAGCTGGAAAGTCCTCCGTTTTAGCACTCATTCTCAGATTCTATGATGCCAACGAAGGACGAGTCCTGATTGATGGGAAAAATATAAAGCAATACAACCTAAGAAATATAAGGGCACGGATAGGGCTGGTGCAGCAGGAACCACTTCTCTTTAGTTGCTCTATAAGAGACAATATTTGCTATGGGTGTGAAGGAGCTTCTGAAGCTGAAATCATACAGGTGTCAAGAGATGCAAACATACATGAAGTAGTAAGCAACTTACCCAGCGGATATGACACTACGGTAGGGGAAAAGGGATGTCAACTTTCCGGTGGACAAAAGCAACGAATAGCCATTGCAAGGGCCTTACTGAAAAGGCCGGCAATAATGCTTCTCGATGAAGCAACAAGCGCTCTTGATGCAGAGTCTGAAAGATCCGTGATTAATGCTCTGGAATCACTAAAAATGAGCACAACATATGTCACAGTTGCACATAGACTTTCCACAGTAATCAACTCAGATGCCATAATTGTTATGGATAAAGGTAAGGTTGTGGAAATGGGCAGCCATTCAACCCTAATAGCAGCAACTGAGGGAGTTTATTCGAAACTCACCAGGCTTCAGAGTGTCGGGAGAAATTGACATATCTACATCTACGAAAATCTAATGGTAGTCACTGTATGTCTCAATGTATTTCTTAAGCTTGAAGCCATCCTGTCAGATTAGATTAATAAAAGTACAAAAACTGGTATCATATCCAACACCAGCACAGCGGTTCGTATTTCAGATAAATATCGAGATGAATGTGACACTTTTTTATAAGCGTTTTGGGCACCAAATTGGATTTAAGAGTGGGTTTTACCAAAATATTTGCCCATTAAAAATGAAGCAGTTTGCTTTGTCGTGAGGATTTGACTTGAAGTATAAGCTTTTTTGAATGAGGGAACTGCAAAAGATTCAATCGTATCGAAAAATATAAGAAAGAACAAGAGAGCACTTGTCTTGAAATGTACTTGCTACTTAAATACTGCCCAAAGTAATGTGTTACCTATTGCTTCGAAGCCCTTTTTTTTTTACTGAGAGAGAGAGAGAGAGAGACCCCGGGGGGGGGGGGGGGGNAACTTTCAAAGTTACTTTTAAGCATAGCTGATTGTGCTCCTAATCTTTTTCTTTGATGGAAGTACGAGCTGCGCTCTTGGAAACTAGCTGATCTCTCATTTCTTTGTAAGCCTTGAGTTCCTCGAGTGCATCAGTTGTATCTCGAGGCTTGAAAAATTCAGAAGCAGTTCCAACTCCTCTCTCGACTTCATTCTTAGAGGATTGACTGATATAAGAACTAGTTGGGCGCAGAGGAGGAGCTGTTTGTAGCATGTGAACAAGGACACCGACAGCTGCATCTTGAGATCTTTTGGCAGTAGAGGATGCTTGGGACGAATCTTCGGACTTATTTTTCCCATCAAGATTCTGGCTGTAGAACAAAAGCACCAGAAAAATAGTATCATAAAAGTAAGACGCGTATCAATATATATGCTAATTTTGTATCTAACAACTGTACCATTGGTACCGAACCTATAGCCCGAGTAGCAAGTTGATTTCCAATAGTTGGTCCCGAACCTTTCATTATTATTACATACTCGGTCACAAACGGAGCAAGTGGTCCAAATCTTCGACAATTGATCACATTGCCCACTTAAAAACATGCCTCACTTCAAATTCTTGGGACAGTAGCCCACGTTAGAAAGAAAATAGTGCTTCATAATGTCAGACATTTGATAGCCACATGACAATTTAATAGAAATTTGGATTGTTTCCATCATACGGGACTTGTCATGCAACCACATAAAAGGTTGAGGACCAACTGGCTACTTGGACGACAGGGTGAAAACCAACAACAAAATTTTATATAGAAAATGGGAATACAAAAAATAAATGCAACAGAAAAGCCAGCCAACACAACATCTCATCTTTTTGACAAAAAATCAAAGAACTGAGACCAACTCAGAGTGATATTCGCTACTTGATAAAACAAGAGGGTAGGATGCAATTTTAGATCGAGTTTTACTGTGGTGTGATGGATTAATGAGATTTGATCGATACAATTAATCACATATTACTTCCACTCTACAATCAATTCACAACTGCATAGGCACTCTATGAAGAAAAGTGGCTTTACATTGTTAAAGTAGAAGCACACATCATATTTGACGCCACTTGCATTTCTTGAGATTAGTCAATAACTGGCAATTAAATTGAAAAAATTAAATCAAATTTAGAATTGCAGAGATGGCAACAGAAACTGAAGTATAAAATGGAAGTAAATGTGAGAAAATATTTGAGGCGAGGCACAAGCCCATTCCAACACCAGAAGATGTGAGAAAATATAGGCGAGGCGTTTGACAACAATAAACTCGTCAAATCATTAAATCAAGAAACAGATGGCAAAAATCAAAGCCCCAACCTATGGAAGTTCTTTAAAAAGTGAATAATCAAAAGCTAGTAGAACACGGTGAAAACAAAATCCATAAATCATAAATCCCCTATATTCAATCATACCGCAACTATTCCAATTTCAAAAGTTTTAAGATTTAATTAATATTGTTCACTGTATTATCAAGTCTCATTTGATAGGCTCATTCAAGGTAACATTCATTGGGATTTCACACCAAGGCTTGAGAAACTCCACGGCACCAAAAAAAAAATGAAGAAGAAGAAGAAGAAAAAAGAAAGAAAAGAAAGAAAAAAGCAGAGGAAAATTAACACAGATTCTATTGATTTTATACAATACGGAAAATCTCAAAGCCCTAGCATGTATTAACATTGTGAACAATTCTTGTTTTGATGAACTGAAGTAACTATATACCATGTACCTGAGTTGAACAAGATATTTTTCTATTTCAGCATCAATCAAGGTATAACTGGTATTAATTTGATCCATAAAATCTTCAAAAGAGGTAGCCAATTTTGGGGATGGGGGAGGCGGTGGGGGAATACTTTACTTTTACGGGTGTACTGCAAGGTCATTCTGCGAGAAACTTAATAGTACCAAACAAGTGTGCTACGTGTACATCATATGCATGATTACCTGGTTTGGAAATCAGGAGGGTCCACGTCATCAACAATAAATGGATAGGTGAAATCACCATCGCCAAAATCATCCTGGAAAGACAATCTGCTGGAGCTTCTCGAGAATCCAACACGTGGAGAACTACTTGAAGATAAAGGACCTGAAAACCGTCCAGAATCTTCTTTGGTATCTCTTGACACCTAGGATATAAGTACAAAATGTGAACAACCTAGCACATTTAATGAGCATACAGCTAGTCAAAAATAACAAGAGAAATTAAAAGAATTCAATCTCAAAAAGAGCCTACCCTTGGACCGAGGTTTGTTAGCCCAGGACTTGGCTCTCCAGTCCTCAGTGAATCTGATTTCCTTATTGATCTAATTCCAGATGAGGACTCCTGGGACGAAGGATCATTTTTTGTACTCCTAGGAGATAGAGGCGGAAGAGAATGCCTGTTTGGATCTGACAGATTAGGAGAAAGATATCTTGGACTTCTTCCCATCATCGGATGTGGAATACTCATGGGAGAAGTTTCTGAACGCATACGACTATGCATGGGATTCCCGCTAGAAAAGTATGTAGGGGGAGACGGGGAAGGAGAAGGCGAAAAAGGAGGAGAAAGTAAATCATCAATTGCTGCTTTCTGATAAGCTGGTGATCTTTGGTTTTGAATCCTATGGCTGTATACGTCAGTAGGCGAAGACGAGAACTCGTATGGTGACCGGTATAGAGGAGGAGATCCGCTAGACAGTTGATTTTTTTGTGAAGAAGAGTCCCCATGGATCCCACTTGTCCAGCTGTGCCGACGTTGAAACGCAGATGAAGAAGTCGGTTGACTCCCTCTTATGGGGAAGGACGTAGCACAGACACCCTTCCCAGATGAAGTAGGGAATGGTCTGATAGGCTCGGTAAGTGGGCTGCCAACATAATCTGTAATGATCTCTGAGGGAAAAGATACAAAAGCATCCAGGTTGAAATCAGACAGATCTTTACGATAAGTCAAAGATACAGAAACGGCACCTTGTTGGGTGTCAATTGGAATGAAATTATGTCTCTTCATCAACTCGTCCTCCACCCTTGAAAATGGAATAGCGTATGTACAGACCTTGTAATTGATATCAAAATCACAATTCTGACTTGAACCTCGTTTACGAAAAGCCTTATATGCCGGAAGGAGTCTCAACATTGAATAAATGGAGCGTAAGAGTAATATTGATTTCTTGTATGTCTTCTTGTAAAAGGCTTCGCTGATTGGATGAGCTACTGACCTTCGATGCTCGTGCTGAATAACCCACCTCTCTATAACTGTGTCCGTTATCATCTCCGACCCTAAAGTAGTAATTGAACTATGCTCCAATGAAGACTTCAGTGATTCTTGAACGAGTATAATATCAATAACCATGGGTTCCATAAAACTTCGATTCCAGAAACTCAAGTTATCCATGGCTGAAGGACGATCTCCTAATACCAAATTGAACCATTTATCACTCTTTTTTACTTCCCCATAGCGACTAGATGGCCGAATGGCAGGAACCCTCGAATCCAATATCATGTGTAAGCTTTTCAAGAAAAACTGATTAAGTATTTGTTCCAACCTCCCATTTTCCCCTCGAGGATAACTGTGCAAATCCATTTGTTTAAGTAAAAGCAAACTTAAAATCAATTTCCAATTTGAACTATATAATGAATCTGGGCATCCAACTCTTTTCCACAATTGGGAATCTTACCCAAATCTTGATTTTCAAAGGAAAACAATTCCAGGTTTGCCCCCAATCTTTTCTATTTCATCTACAGTTTTTCTCTGTACAAAACTGGTAATCTACCTAACAAAAGTTCCTTAAAAAACCCATGTGTGTATACCTGAAAATTCACCCATAAAAATACAATTAAAGCAAGAAAATTACCTTAACAAGATCATAATTAGTGATGCAATTACAACGCACAAAATATGAACATATGCTATATTTATGATTTCATGCAACACAAAATACTATAATATATGCGATGTATTCAAGAAATATGCATGTTAAAATTTACCAGACAAAAAAAAACGAGAAAATAATTAAATATGAAAATACAGATCGAAGATTCTTGCATTTGAAATCATTGAGAAGAACCCGTGATTAATTTCATATCCCACTAGCCGATTGAACAGAAATACTATCAAACAAGAAAAAATGACAAGATTCATTAAATATACACCGTTTTTATTATAATAGACTGAAAATAATTGATTATAAGCAAAAGAACTTACTTGGAAGAGTAGATTTTCTCGAAGAGAAAAGGGAGGCGTGTGAGATCAGAAGGGATGAGGATTTAGATAGTTTTAGAGAGAGATTGCGTAAATGCAGATTGCAGAAAAGACAGGCTCATTCTTATAGTTTATAGTCTAAAGATAATTAAGATTAATTAATATGGTTTTTACAATTGGTAAAATTAAATGTTTCTAAATCTGGGTTTAGGTATACAAATTGAGCCTGCAAAAAGATAAATTTGTTAGGTTTATTCTATTCATCAATCATTGATATGTTCCATTTCTATTTTTATTCCTTCGTGGATGTGGCCATTATTGCCTTGCTTGGAGACCCTTTTCAGCTATCTCCATCAGATTTTTTAGTAGGGATGGGAACGAGGTAGGGTTGGGACGAATCGATCATTTCTACTTCTGTCTCGTTGAGTATTCTTATCACCTTACTCAATCTTCATAATCGATTAAAACAGGACGGGTTGGGAGCTAGATCGGGGTGGGGCGGGACACGTCTCCCGCCCCCTTTTTTTTTTTTTTTTACATCTTTAGTTAGTAAATATTATTACTTTTTTTCTAATTTGTTAAGAACAACTTATGTTCTCTTTAAAAATGATAAATTTTTTATTTTTATTTGATAAAAAAATTTATATTTAAAATTAACATTAAACGAAATGCGTAGCGGGACGAGGACTATATTTTCCGTACCCACCCCATACCCATTTCGGGGCAATGATCCTTGTTTTATTTATCGGATTAGATGGGTAATCTCCGTCCCATTCGAGAAGGGGTCCCACATGTATCGTTTTGAACTGATTTTTTTGTCATCTCTATTTTTTAGGGCGGCTAGAGCTTGTTTAGCTGTTTTTTGGAAATAATGTATTTTGGAATAGTAATTTTTAGAAGAATGTGTAGTTAAAAAAGAAGAAAGATCATGTGATTTACGTGTAATATTATTTTATTGAAAAATGTGTGATTGAAAAGAAGATATAGAAAAATATATTAAAATTTTAATGGAGGCTAAACATGAGCTAAGTTTAGTACGCAATATTATCATGAATATTATAATAATAATAATAAAGGGGGGAGAAAGAAGAAGTTTTACAATTGATACTCATTCTTCTAAAATACATTTTTCTCTCTTTTAATTTCAACTACACATTATTCAATAAAATAATATTACACGTAAATTAAAAAAAAATTCTTATTTTTTACCACATATTTTTCATCAAAATACTATTTAAAATGCATTCTTTAAAGAATAATGTGGCTCAAACAGGTTTTAGAAAGTAAATCTTTTTTCATTTAGATCTAGCTAGTAGTATAACTTCTATTGAATTGAAACCTCGTTTGAGAATGTGCTAAGTGAATAAAATTCGAAGCATAACTTTTTTATTGCTTCATATTCTATCGTCGCACGTTTGCAATTATTTTCATCAAAACAACTAAAACTCCACCTTTCAACCTTCCGAAGCTAGACATATGTCTACACGAGTTACAATGTAGCATTGTTATGTGTTTTTAGCTTTCTTTATCTATTGATATATTGTGACTTATTTTGATCAATAAGGGTCTGTTCTCTTTGCCATTTTCAAACCGTTTTCTGATTTCGATTTTCCAAAACAGTAAAAACGCGTTCTATTTCCTATTTTCGAAAACGCTTTTTAAAAATAAGTTAAAAATTTACAAAGAAAACACAAAACGACAAATTTATCGTTTTGAGTGTTTTCAGTTATAATCAAGCCAAAATTTTCATAACGCATTTTGGGTGTTTTCAAAACAATTTTTCAAAATACCAAAAAGAACAAATTTTCAACAATTTCAAAATAAACACTCAAAATACAAAATTGAAACAAAAATAGAACAGTCCCTAAATGTTTCACCATTTTGGATGTTCTAGTAAATTTAGCAATTAAAAATAACTTTTTTCAAAAATATTATTTTTGTGCATGCTTACTTTGCAGTATAAGACAAACGTCAACTACATAAATAATATTCTAACTTATTTTTCTTTCGTCAATGTTGTATATTATCTATTTTAAATACGCTATTTGTCATTTTATTTAACTTGTTAAATAGGTCGTGATCACCTTGATCCTTCTGTTACATTTTTCATTTCGATACTCGCATTCTAATTTGTTGAGATAAGAAGGAATGTTTCTTAATACACTAAGGACACAAAATCAAAGTTTCTTTTGTTGGGCAATTAAAGGTCATGCCTAGGATTAATTTGTTGTCGCGGCTTCCTTTTTATTTCAAAGATTTGATTCTTTGGATATTATTTGTAGGAAAATTTATTGTTTTTAAAATTATTTAATGGGATAATAATTATTAATTAATCATTTAATAAATATTTATGATAAAAAGTTAAATAATCTTTTAATTCATCCTTAGTTGAAATGCATAGTTAATCAAGATTGAAAATAATTAAGAAAAAGAAATCGAGTTTACTTTTATTTAATACAATGTACCATGATAAATGTTGTCAAACATTATAGTCTAACATAAAACGTAATTAATAAAAATTGAATAAAGGACAAATTTCATGGGAAGAAGGCAAATCAGACTTCTCTTTCGTGTTCGCAAATGAGAAAAAGACAACTGAAAAGGTTGTTGTTATTCTAAAAGTGCAGATAAATTTGTTGTTAATAGAAACAAAAATATAAATTGAATGTATGTATGAGTCCATTCATAAGACCAAAGAGTTCATTAATCTTGTACACTACGAGAATTATGTATCTTATTAAGGGTTAATTCATTTGTACATAATGGATTACCCCCTCTCACATAATGCGAGGGGTCCGCGTGCATTTAAAAATTTCGACAATGTTGGCCCCCATTGTGAGTAGTAGGTAAAAAATTCGGTAAAAAAATTCAGTACATGTAGCACGATCCATTATTGAATACAAAGTGAGTTAATTTTGAGTGCGGTTTTGCTCGTAAATCTTGTTATTGTGTACATTGTCTCGTAAGTTTAACAAATGTGATATGTTAATTCGAATGTTAACTAGTAGAGAATTGATATACAAGTCTTTGTCAAACAATGACACACATCTTTCATATTAAAAAATGCATTTTAATAAAATACGAACTTAAAGCACGTACTTGCTTGTCAATTTTCAGTAATTTTAACGTTCAAGTCAACATATTATGTTAGTTAGGCTGATTTAATAGACAAAGTGAACAAATGTGCAAGTTGGGTTACCCTCATTGTATCAAATCGAAAATGAGTGATAACATCTTCACGAAAATGAAAGTTGGGTGACCTAATTACACCAAATTAGAGATAAGTGACCGGAATACAACTCCATTCAAAGTTGGTGTGATTTGAAGTGCACTTTTTAATGATGACATCCCACGTTATTACAGATGAAACAACATTTAATCATATTAGCAATCAACTATGTATCTCCCTATTATATCTTTTTTTGAAAAATCTCTTGATTGTGGCTTGAGGAAGACAATGAACAAAAGTTATTTGTTATATACACGATATATCCGTTGTGATTGAAAACGTGTTTTCCAAATTGGATTGAGAAATGGTGCTCAAAGCCATGATCCTCGATATCTCGGTAAATGTAAGTATAGTTTTGTTACTTTCTTGATCAATTACAATCATTTAGATGAAATCTCTGGTTTTTTCATTATCAAAGTTGAGATTGATTTATCAAGTTCCATATTTAAAGTCTTGCAGTTATATCTTTTTCCATTAGAAATTTTGTATTCAAATTTCAAAATGTTTCTCAATTTCCCTTCAAATTGTTGTTTTTAACATTATGCACATATGGCACATTCTGATCTCAGGGATTCAGTCCACATTACTAACAATAGAAGCCCAAAATTAGGAGCTCTATAAATGAGCTACAAACCTGCCCATAAAGAATTAAGAATTAAACAACAGAAGCCACATCCATGAAATGCACACCAATACAAGCACATGTAGGATGTTAAGTGGGACGAGTTAACGAACCAATTAACGATTTTGTCCATGCTAGCTGCTCGCCAGCTCACCAAGAAAATCTAGACCGGTGGGAGACAGCACGCGGGCCGAGCCCGTCAGTGAACGAGTCAACTCGTCCCATTTAATACCCTAAGGTACACCCAATCTATCCACGAAATGCACAGAATTTAGGCACACCCAATTTATTCATCCAGAAAAAAACAAAAAAATAAAAAGCTATCATATTTTATACTATTGTAAAAGCTATTTCTGCGTTCTGTATTATAATTAAAAAAAGAAAAAAAAAAAATTGTTCATATCACAGAGTTCAACTCTAGAAAGTCAAATGCGTTTTGGCGTGTAAGCAATCCATGTTTCAAGATTGAGTGAGATCTTGCTTTCTAATTAAATGCAAAAATTAAAAACTTTCAAGTTTCCTTTCATCTAA